AGAAGAACCTCAGTTAACCATATAAGAAGGATGCAGCAGGTCCATTCTACCCACCCTCACCCTGCAAAAGCTGTTAAGATACTTTAAGCTCCCACCTCTACCTTTGTGTGGAAAAAGGGAATCCCAGATTATTTCAGGAGGAGGGAATACCTTTGTGGCTATTAGGAAAGAGAAAAAAGATGTGCTGTTGTGCCTGTCTCTGGATGTGAGGAGGAAACAGTATTATTGGCACTGGAAAGCAAGGACAATGTAGTGGTTCTGGAGTTGAGATGAGAGAAGAACCACAGCCCAGATGTGTCTTGGTGCACCAAAGGCACCAGATTACCTTAGACTGACAATGGGTTAAAGCTCTTCCTTTTTGAGCAAACTATCTTCAGGTTTTTTCTCCACCTCTGCCCCCTACACCCTGTAGGCAGCTGTTAATTCTGCATTTACTCCAGCTATGATAACATGCATACATACATACATACATACACATTACATGCACACATACATACATTAAGAGTAGGCTTACATGTCTTCAGAAGAAAGGCAAAATGCCCTGAATGAATACCACCAAAGACAGACCTGAACTCTGGCATATATGGACAACTTTCTTTCTCTCTCTCTCTCTCTGTGTCTCTGTCTCTCTCTCTGTCTAAACTGATTAACCTCACAATTATGTAAAAGATTGACACAAAGCATAATATACAGTAATAACTGGCAGGTACATATTCTGAGGGAAGAATCCTCCACATGGACATGTAAGGATATTTCATGTGTATCCCCTGGAGTAGGCCATTAATACACCACTTGGGTGGAAAAACTGGTTTTCCAGTGGAGAAATGGCTGTTCTCCAGGGCACATTGCTCAGGTTTTGCTCATCTCTTACCAACCCCTTATTTTGCCTCTATTTGTGGAACAGGAATAAGGTTGGGAAGGGTGTATATTAGAACTCAGCCTTGCTTGTTTTGCATATCAAACATACATAGCACAACCTATCAGCGGTCTTGTCTATGCAAAGTTACTTCACACCCAACACATAAGTACAATTATTATTGCATAGCACTGGTGGAAGCTCAGAGTGGGAGCAAAATGCATTTAAAGTACACACACACACACACACACACACACACGTATGTCATAGGTGCATACTTGGCTATCTGGCCCAAATGGCCTGGTGTCATGGGATTATGTACAGACTTTATTTTTTATATTATTACTTCATTTACTATAGGCTTCCTGTTTCCTTTCTCATATTCATTATCTCACTACGACCTTTATCCACAAAAAAAGTGAAGGCTAAATGGCTGGGATAATGTAAAAAAGATTCAGAGTTTCATGTGCATGAATAGCTTCCTTCTGACCTGTGATGCTGGGGCACAGTGCCTCTCCACAGTGCAGTGAATTGTTCGATTTTATGCCACAAAAAGGACTTCAAAATCAGTCCCCATTCAAATTCAAATCCAGCAATGGCTTTCTCAAATCTTGGTCATATTCATAAACAAACAATTAGAGAAAACGTCTGGGTTCTTTTATTGCTTTCTCAACACCCATATATTCTTTCATGGTATATTTCAAGTATAAGTTTGATATCGTGAAATAGGCAGCATTAAGCTAGTCACATGATGAGAGTTGTATTATTTTTCACCTGAGTTCCTGATTGCTATAGTCTATTGTAGGTGAGCTGGGGATCAGGCCAGAAGAGACAGGCAGATGTGTCATTTGACACTGGATGGTTATTTTTTAGTGTCCCTGTTACTTCTGTTTATTGCAGGTCCTCATTGCACAAACCACTGTGCAAACGTATAGTAAGGTCTGACAGCTTTACAAAAACCACACAAAGTGCAAGGGAATCGGATGCTACATCCCATGAAATCTATCAAAGCATGTGGCAGGTCTTGAGGAAAATAATGAAAGAGGAGGAGTAAATAGAAGTAAAGGGAGTTGAGGAAAGAAGGGAAGAAGGAGAGAAAGGGACAGAGGGACATATGAGAAAGTGAAAGAAAGGAAGATGGACAGAGATGGGAAGAAAAGACAGAAGAGCCTATGGAGTTCTGGGGGAGAGTGAGGCTAGCAACTAGTAGAAAATTATGACCAGAGCCCACTTTAGAGACATTGGGCATGTCTACACAAGACACTTTACTGTGAAGTAACATAGTTTACTGTGCAATAAGCATACACATTTACACCTGCACAAGCTTACTGCATAGTAAACTTCACTAATCATGAACAAATTTGCTACCTGTAAATGCAAGTAGCAAATTTACTCACAAATAGTTACTGCACAGTAGCGCTTGTGTAGATGCCTGACCATGAGCCAGCCACCAACGGGTGGGAGAATGCTCCCTGCCCCTGGGATCTGCCTCCTGACAGGGTGGGCTCTGCCACTGTAGCCTGGGTGGGGACTATATCCCCCTGCCCTAGCACCAGGGAACTCCAAGTGCCCTGCCCCGAGATAACAATCAGGGAGCAGGAACTGGGAGATCCTTATCTCCCAGCCCCTGCTTTACCATTGCAACTGAGGAGTCTGGGGCTGGGAGTTCCTTATCTCCCAGGGCCAACTTTGCAGTTGTGGGGCTTGGGCTGGGAGAACCTTATCTTCCAGCACCAGCTCCATGGTTGTGGTGCCAGGGCTGGGAGATCCTTATAAGTATCTCCCAGACCAAACCATGTGACCACAGAGCTGGGGCTGAGAGATAAGAATTTCTCAGTGCTGGATTCCCAGTCATGGAGCTGGTGCTGGGAACTCCCTGCTGGTGGGGGCTGGGGAGTCTGTTACCTGTTATCATGGAGCTGGGTGGGGAACAAACTCCCCAGCCTGCTCCCACCCAGTTCTGCGCTCATGGAGCTGAGCAGGGAACAGGCTCTCCAGCCCCCACCCTGCAGCTGTGGAATGCAGGCTAGGTACTGTCCTGTTCAGGGGCAGGTCCCTGCCCCATGCCCCAATTGGGAGATTGAAGTACAGGGCTTGGAAAGAGCTGCAGGTGCCAAACAGGTCCCAGCCACCTGCCCCATCCACCTGTGCGGCAGCTAGTAGTGAGCCCCTGGCTGGGTGGGGAATCCCTGCCCAGCCAGGGACTTGCTGCTAGCTGCCTCACTGGTAGAGGGAGAGGCAGGGGGCTGAGACCTGCCCCTCCCCTGCAGTTCTTTCCAAGTCCCCTGTCCTAATCAGGGATCTAGGGTTGGGAGCTTCCTGCTTCTGGGGCAGATGGACATTGTCCCTGCTCCGGCAGTAGGCAGCCCCCCAGGGGCAGGGAGCAATGTCCCAGCCCTGGCCAAGAGACAGCTGTCTCCTGTCCTGGAGCTCTCTGCCAGTCCCTGGGCTATCACCCAGGAGAAGCCTCAAGCTCCCCCTAGTGGCAGCAGGAGCCCATTGCAAGGCCACAGGATGTGGGAACAGTTTGCTGCTAGAAGCAGCAAATCTCCCACATCCCTGCATGTGTAGACACCTGCCTGAGACCATTTACTCATAAGTAGTTTACTCGCAAGTAAACTGAACTCAGAGCAAATGCATGTGTAGATGCACCCATCAGTCTGCTAAATAGCAGCTGAGTAGATCAATCAGTATGTGGGATCATGTTGTGCCTTTTTGCCACTGTTCCCTGCAATGAGCTTCACCTGAGCAAGTCCTCCTCTGCTTTCCCTCACCTTTGTGGCTGGAGTGGGTTGAGTGGCCTGCTAAGGCTGCTTGCCCCAAGGGTTTAGAGGACCATCAGCACTGTAATGTAGTCTGGAAGTGGGGTGGCAAAGGGTCTTGGCGTCACTTCTCCCTGACATGGTGCTGCTCTGGCTTTTGCCAATGCAACCTTTACTATTGCAGCTCATCATGGGTTAAAAGAAGTGCTTACTCTTGTAGCTGGACAGTGAATCACAATGACATACCATATTAAACATTCCATTGCTTTTAGAGCTCATGAAAACCTATTAGTGTCCCCACACAGCAGTCATTTCAGCTACTGCAGCACCTTGGAATCATTAGTAACTTTTCTACAGATCCCACCACAGACACTCAAAGACTTGATTTTTGGGTATATCAGTCCATATCTGAAGAGATGCTGTACCCAGGGTTTTTATTTGAGTCCCATGTATTTGCATTTATCCTTATATAAACCAGCATGAAGTTGTTTATAACAAGAAAGCAGTCAAATTTGAGAAGGCATTGCACAGTGCTCTCTGAAAAGAGTACAGGGTTTCTGTGGATTCTGCTGAGTGCACCAGTTTTATCAGTGTAACTACAACCCCGATGCTTTCCACCTGCACAAGCATTGCAGGACATCAGGGAAGAAAACCTAACATTAACCCTGACCAGAAAATCTGAATAAGCACAAATACATGAGTGCTGCCAACATTTGTGCATGGCTGCTGTGTGAACATGAGGCAAGGGAAAAAGAATGAGAGAGAAAGACAAAACATACATATAGGAAAGAGAAAATATTTTACCCTATCTCACACAGCTGGAAAACTCTGAAACAAAACTAAAAAAAAGTTCTGCTAGCCCTAACCCCTGTATCAGTCTATCTCTGGTAGGAAGTGGTCTTTTTCATTTATTATTTTCATCAATTCTTAATAGAATGGCCTCATTTTTATTTTCTATTTGGCTTTATTATAGTATGTCCTAATGTGACAAGGAAAATGTTATTTGAATTTTTGAGTGCCATCAGCGTGATGTGGACAACACATATTTGCTAGTCAGAGGCCTACCAAGTAAATACTTTGATCTGGATTTTGCTGGTCATATTTGTTCTGAACAATGCTACATTTGTAATTCCATTGATTTTAGGGTGCAAAGTAATATGAGGACCCACTTTTCCTGCATGGGTTTTTCTCTGCAAATCTCAAGAATCTTATAAATTTAGGATGGGGGCCTTAATTGTGGCCTATAATGTTTTGAAGCGCAAAGATTTTTCAGAATATGCAATTTCTGAGTTACCCAACATCATGATTTAAGGGTTTTTCTTATTATATTTTGCCTGCAAACATTTTCAGACATAGAAAGAAAACATAGAACACACATGAGAAAAAGATTAAAGAAATGCCAAATATTTATACAGATACACACAGTATAAGAAGCCTCATAAACTGAATCAACTAAGTTTGCATATCATACTAATGAAGGGCATAGGGCAGGAGTTATAACATTCAATATTTTTTATCCTGAGCAAAATTCACTTTTGTTTCTGCATTACAGAAATCTCACTTATATTAATAGCAGCTTGGCCTGTAGATCAGGTGAAAAATATGGAATAGTGATCAGCCATGTAGCTTGAAAACTACAATGAACAAACATAACAATGCTACAATATATAGTATTAACACTATAGCACACACTGTGGACCTAATCCTGTTTTTCTTTATTCTCACAGAACAACTGCTATAACTAACTGGAGTAACAGATCATCTAGTCCAGTGTATTGTTTCTGGCAGGGGCCAGCCCCAGATGCTCAAGTGGAAGGTACAAAAAACCCACAATAAAATTATAGAGTAAACTTCTTATTAGAAATGTTTGTCTAATCCCACCAGTTAGCATTTGTGTTATGCTCAGGAGCATGGCCAAATGTACTGCAAATTCTCTCCTGCTGTATATAAAAGGATTCTTTTTTCATTATTCAAGCTAATGTCTGTTTTACTTAATCCTATAAAACGTTTGGTCTTGAAGATTTCTTGTAGCAATGAGTTCTTCAGTATTCTGAATCAGTTTGAAGTAGGCTGCTGTTCAAATATGCTGCTGTAGAATAAATAAAAGAATTTGGCCATCTAGACTGCAACATACCCAAATGCAGAAAAAAATAAATCATGCGCAAGCAAACATATTCTATGGCTCAACCCTCAGCAATTCATCTATTGAGTTATCCAGTTCCAAGTGTAGTTTCACTCTATTAGCATTTTACACATGTTTACACTGGTCAACTGAGAAGATTTGGAAATCAAAGCAACAGTTTACACCTATCATTAAAATAAAATCAGGCAATCTTTTGAAAAAGTATTATTGAACAGGAAAAAAAAAGTCACTCTTAGAATGGATACATAAGTCAATTACATTAGCAAAAAGACTGCCTATACATCCAAGAAAAAAGAAAGCAAAGGAAGAAAATTTACCAATTTCTAATGCTGAGACAGAGAAGAAAGCTACAGAAGAGAGAGAGAGAGAATGACAGCATAAATGGTGTTGTTTATACAATATTAAAAAGAATCTTGCAAGCTTTTGTGCCGCATTTCAATTCAACAAGTTTCATTTTAAGACATGTTAAATAGCTTTTGCTTTTCATATCGCAGCTACATGATAGCTTACTTCTACATACTGTATGAAAGAGTGAAGTGGAAGTGCACAGGTCTGGACAGAAAAAGAAATGCGCACAAAACATATCCGCCTGGTTCTTCGAGGTGTATCCGTTTACCAAAATGAATGGGAGGAAACTACATCAGGGAGATGCTTTGTGCCTGTTGCAGGCTTAGCTTTTGGGAAATGCCGGGTCTCACCAACTCACAAGCCAGGCCAGGAGAGCAAGAGCATTTACACTCATATGAAAACTTGTGTCTAGTCACTAGAGTCTTTTTGTCTGTCTGTGGGGAGAATCCAGACCGTGCAAGCCCACCGCTTGTGGGAGTGTGTGTGGGCACTTGAAGAACATCTCCAAACACCCCCCTGTAATACAGCTTTACAGGGGTGTAGGTTGTAGCCGTGTTGGTCTCGGGACATAGCCACACAAGGTTCTTTGGGTGAAGCTGATTTCTTTTACTAGACCAACTTAAATAGTTGGGGGGGGGGAATTTTAGCAAGCTTTCTCAGGCTGAGGAAGTCTCTGCAGTTGGTGTGAGATGGGCTGGGGCGGGGAGGGGGCTTTGCCATGGCCACAGTGCCACCCCACAAAGGCAGCGCATGCCTCACCCCGCGAGCCGCCTGGAGAGGTCTCTGGAGCTGGCTTGGGCGGGGGTGGCGGCTGTGTGACCCGGGCTCTGCCCTCGGGGGCAGGACGAAGCCGCACCAAGGCGAGGAGGCGAGGCATCGCTGTGCCAGCGCCCGGCGGCGGCCGGGGCACGGGGCGGCCGGGAGGGGAGCGGGCAGATGACAGCCGGGGGTGGCGGGGAACCGGATCGCCTGGGGAGGATAGCGGGGCGGGTGCTGGGCGCGGCTTGCGGCCCCCCCGGGCTCAGCTGAGAGCAGCCTCCCCCCCTGCAAAAGCAGCATCGAAGCCACTCAGGTGCCGGCAGCAGGGATCCGCGTCGGGGAAGCCGTCGCCCGCCTCCCCGGGGCTGGAGGCAGGCGGGCGGGGGGGGAAGCCGCCGCCGAGAGGTGCAGCCGGGACGGGACCTACCTGCCGGAGCGCTTGGGAGCGGCACCGCCCGGCCTGGCTCTGCCCGCCGCGGGGATTGAAGCACCCGCGCTCGTCTCCCTGGAGCAGCCGGGAGTCACAGGGCCGGGCTTGGACCCGCCAGCGCTGCCGGTGTGCATCCAGGACTTCGCAGCACCAAAGAGTTAAAACCAGAAAGTCGCAGTCATTTCATTATTATTATTATTGTCATCATCATTATTATTATCATCATTATTATTATTGTAATAAATACAACCGCTCTTATAACAGAAGTTCTTATCAGCGGGTTGCACTGGAGTTGGCAAACAAGCTTTTTCTTTCTGTCCGTCTTTCTTTTTTTCTTTTTTTTTTTTTTTACCTTTTAAACAAATAATTCATTAGGTAATTAAATGCAAGTGAGATTACTCTAATTAAATATACGCTGCTGTTGAATCATAATTTCTGCGTGGCCTAGTTAAAGACGAACGATCTCTTCTTATTCCTGACCAAAAAAAAAAAAAAGCTTTAAAAGAATTCCCCAGTGACTGGAATAATAGATTTATACACCACCGTGCAGAGGTCATTTTAAGAAAGAAGAGACACCAAACACAACATAAAGGGACTTTTCATGTCTAGAGATACTAGAATTTCAGGTTTTATTGCTCGGAGTTCTATTAAAGGACTTTGTGGAACCTAGGAGGAAATCAAAATTATCTTTCAAAAGGCGATAAGTTATATAAATATGTGCACAAACAGAAATGTGTCTCTGAAGGTATTAGTTCTGCATAATTTCAGATGAGTAGCTACTAGGCCTCAAAGGAAACAGTGCATCTTGAAATGCTCTGAAGGCTTACATTGGCCAAAATAAGGCAGGACTTTAGCGAAATTAGAAGTAACTTTGTAGCCAACGTTGTGCTATATGTCCTGGTTCCCTTTAATAGCATTAGGAGTTCAAACCATAAAGACTAATCTGGAGAGTGGAAGTTCCTGCTCTCTGCTTTGATCTCCTTCCTCTTGGCTGTTTAAAGCTGACAGTTTGGCTGAATGGCATTCACTGCTTTCATTTGTAAGACATGAGTTTCCTAGTGTTCCAGAGCTAGCAGCTACACCTGTACTGCAGGAATTTACATTGCATTGCTCCAGGATGGCATTGATTTGGGACGGGTGAAATACAAACACAAACTAATTAAAAACTGCATAATGCAGCCCTACAGGAACAAGACAGAAAAACAAATACATACAACTGCAGCTGGCACAGCAATTGTGCCTCTGCCCCCAAGCAACAGTCTGGTGACATAAAATTATAAACCTTAAAAATCTCATATAATTGCTGTTGATCATTTGGAAGACAGAATGGAAATGATTTTGGTAATTAAGTTCAGGACTATCGACTATTCATAGATAGATAGATAGATAGATAGATAGATAGATAGATAGATAGATAGATAGATTTGCATACCCAGGGATATGTGTGTATAGTTTTAACAGGGGTTTTGGTTGGAGCGGTGTTGGTGTAAGGACATAAGCAGGCAAGCTTCTTTGAGTAAATGTTATATCTAATAAAAAGATTTAAAAAATAATAATAAAAGATAAAAGTCTAATGGAAGATATCTCATCTACTTAAAGAACCTTGCCTGCCTATAATTTTAACAAGCATTATTTTTTTAAAAAAGTATGAAAGCTACTTACTATAACTAGTACCAATTATTATATTAAAACAGATCACCATAATGCATTGTTTTAAAGTCCGATAGAAATATTTTCTTTTCAGCTGTAAAATAAAGAAGTGGGTATTTTCTGTAAAAGAATCTGCTCTCTTTTCTGAGAACTTCGTTCCCCACAAGTTTCTTCCCAATATTAACTGGGGCATATTCAGATATCCTGGTTGGGTGAGTGGTGCAAGAATTTGACCTCTCTCTTTCTCCTGTGTATTTTAAAATTAAAATCACAGAGTGCCCTGCTTGCTATTTTGCACGGAGCTGGACAAACCAAACCGTTTTTTGAACCAGTCGGTGGTTGCACGACTGAAATTTAGCTGGAGGTATGTGGCTTATTTAACATAAACCTTCTTGGGAGGTGGGGGGGGGGGG